GTACACTGTTGATGCGGCTCTAATGACGTACGGTGCTGGCGATGGGCTGATTCGAAGAGATAGAAAGTTAGTTGGTTATAGGACAGTCCAGGAGAAGGGAAAGGGGGTAAGTGATGGAGCTGGGGCTGAAAGTCGGAGGAACTCACTAGGACTGGGGCTCAAGGGGTGTGGTTCTGACCGACGATGGTATTTCGAGGATCACGACTCAAGGTGAAGGGAGAAGGGGGTGACGGGAGGCCCCGGGCGGCTTATGGTGAAAACAATCAACACCCCTTACGATGAAAACAAGCAACGAGAATGGATCTAGGCTTATGAATGGCCTAAAACGGACGCTATACAGGAGGGTTTGGGGGGAAAGGTGAATAATGAATACGGATAGCGGAGATGATAGAACGTGGAAGGAAAAGGATGGGGTCAAGTATGGATCATGGCACTTGGAAGGTAAGGGAGACTGAGGCTGTTCATCCGGGCTGAGTCGTCTTCGATGTCTGCCTGATAGACGAGTTGCGCTAGCCTAATCTAGGGATAGTCGGAGAGTAAGACAAAATTCCATTGGATGGACCATCTCGCATTGCCCCATCGGGGACGATTCTCTTCGACGGCCAAGACGGTAATTCATTTACACGCTTTGCGCCTCAGGTTGGTGTGTAAGTTACGGGCGGATGGTAATACATCCGTGGTCGGGGCCGTTATCTCCCGTTCTCCGCTTCATCCGGGTCCCGCTCTCACCAGGGCTGGCCAATGATAGCGCAGCGTAATTCCAACTGGAGTGGGGGCTCATACCGGGACTGCCGAAAATAGAGACCAACGGGGTCGATAGAACTAACAGTATCCATACGCTCCAGAACCTCGGAGGAACTTTGGGCAATTTAAACTTTGTCCTGGACTTGCTGTCCTTTTCCTTTGAGATCTCGTAGTCGTATGGTTGTCCCTCCGTAGTAGAATGGTCGATGTTTGTTCGGGGTTTGGGACACGGCTCGACCTTGCTTCCGTACCAAACAAAAGCAACCAATTTATCAACACCTGCAACGATGTATCTCAGCAGGAGCACTTCATTTATTTACTAATCGCGCAAACTGTCATCCGCCAACACAATTCCTGTTGAGAGCCAATCAGAAATTCCGTCTCCGCTTACTGTTATCATATGATACAGTACCACTGCCCGCCTCCGGGAGTATTAACTAGTACTAAGTACTAACAAGGTAATAACCGACTACGAAAGACCTACCTACTTGGGTAACCAACCCCAAAGACGGAGCTAAGAAAGGGACAACACCAACATGGCCGAGCTTTGCACTGACCTTGGCCGTGGAGGACCGAACCGCGGAGGTCGCTGATGCCATTGGATCTGTCTTTTATGACAGGCTGATCTTTTCTGAGCCAATCCCCAACCGCCTCGTAGCCACCCACGTAGCCTGGGTTGAATCTGATGCACCAAATTTTCGCAGACCAGCCTCAGCATTCGTAGATCCTTGTGCTTCCCGTCTAACTACGAAGTACATTGGAGGATATGAGCCTCATTGTTATGACGATGAGGTGCATGGCAACCCCCTCAAATGCCAACAACATCTCAGTGATTGGAGGGTCTCTCACCACTTGCAGCAGGGCAACAGCCAATGACCATGAAAAGTGTCGCTTTCCTAACTGTTCCGCTGACGCGCGGGAGTCAATCTCTTCCTCGCCCTACATAAACTGTCGCAGACTGGAGTATTTGTGTGACAGGCCTCTGTGTTTTTATTCATTGCTTTGTCATTCCCCGACCGGGACGCCCTTGAATACGAGGCTAGTAGCTGAAAAACTCGGCAATCCCAAAGTGAGACATTATCAGACCAGGGAGGACAGACCATTAAGAGGACCAGTAGAACAAAGTGGGGTTAATTCTGGAGCCCAGCGACCTGGAATCTGCTTTGTACTTCCAGTCTGAAGTACCAAGTCGTGCATGTCACGGCTTCCTGATGTCTGCTGCGCCACAATCAGGACCAAGGTATGAGATGAGGCCCCAAAACCTGTCATGTCTTTGCTTCTTCCCTTCTACGACCAACAGAGTGTCGAGCTCTGCAAGCACTAAACTAATTGCGGAATGGGCGTTTGTTCTACCCGTTTCTATATATTATCTGGTGCTCTGCCGCCGTCGAAGGCAGCACAATTTTGATGGAACATGGACGGGATCCCCCTGTCGGTCGTTGAGAGTTGACAGACACTGTCTATCGAACATTCACTAGTTGCAGGTACTATACATAGCAGACTGCCTGGTTGTAGTCGGAGCTTTTTTTAGCAGGATCATCAATTGGCCTGTCTCGTGGTTTATCTGATGATCTTCTCACCACTTTGGGCTCATTGCAGTTCATGTCAACTATCTGGCGTCAAAGTGCAGGAACATTGTTCTAGGACCTGAACGGCTGCATCTCCATTCACCCACCTACTGGTGAGACGTGTTCTGTCTCGCGGTAACCAACAGATACCAGAATTTATTTGCCTGTCACTCCCCTCCGATGTAGATGCATTCATCTGTGTGTGAAGCGCCATCTTACCTAATACCACCTACTTCTAAGGGGCTGTTCCTGGACGTCTCTGCTTCAGTCAGGGGTTCAATATCCTGGGAATAGGGCCAGAATGAATGCAGAAGGGGCTGGCTTAGTGATGTGGAACGTGGATTTAGAAATCCTCATAATTTGGACCCAAGCGGAGATTGTTTCTGTGACAATGCCGAAACCTTCACACTTGCTCATTTATTCACTGGAAAAAAAAAAAAAAAAAAAAAAAAAAACGCAGTATCTCAGTATGGTACATTGTTGTCAACCCGCAGCTTCCCCGTTAGCGAATAGTATACAGAGTAGTATTTTGAGGCTGTCTCAAAACATCCACTTTACCATCAATATGCTAGTCCAGATTCCCTCTAGATTTCCTCTGGCAAACATTGGGTCATAGCTTGCCTCGGTGCAACACGATCTACTAACTTCAAGGCGAGCATTAATGGAACCCCTTATTCGCTTTGGCTAGCTCCCTAAGAAGAAGCACCCTTACCCGCTATGGTTCCCAAGCATCCTGCCCGACCCCTCCTAGGACTATCATGAATAATACGATGGGATCCCACTTTGATCTTCAAGAAGAAAGCAAGACCTTGCATCTTTCTACACCTGTCGTCGGCATATTTACACCTCTCTCGTGGAAGCTTCCGCGATCAGGGGGTCTCTCGGGACTAATTCGGACACTAGGGGAATTTGACTCTACGCTACTATCCTAGGAGCTTCCCTGAAAAAGGCTTGCGAAAACTTTGACAGCACACTTGCTGCAAAAGGATAATTAGATGATCGCCTCTTTGATTTGGGTATCAACTGATCTTTGTGTACTAATTTGAAGCTAGTTCATCCAGATCGGCAATGGATAGGGTAGTTACTAGCACGGGCTCGTTTGTATGAGGCTTTTCTGATCAAAAGGAACGACATCCGTGTTGGCCAAGCCAGCTACTGCAAGACCCTAGTACCAGGGAGAGAAGAAGGGGCTAACGCGGTCCGTTCTAGATCTGAAGATGGTATTATTGAGCCAATGGTTGATAGTGCAGCGGTCTACAGTACTAGGTAATCACACGATGGCCCGGCCTGGACGGAGGGTGGGTGTTGTGTTTGCTTCTTCGATGCTGTCGCCAATACTTCAAACAACTACGATCAAGAAGGCAATCCCGATCACGACTGCGGTGAGGAACATTCCCACCTCCATGGACCTCAATAGCACAGCATGTAAAAACACGGCTGATTCCGTGAGCCTCGATCTGGTCGCATATGCTGTCTCGAACATGAGGCTCCACGCTTTGTGCATCACATATCACCGAAGATAGGGCGAGTATCCTCCAGGTCGATCTTGGAATGTAGCCGCATAGCTGAACCACTTCAGCCCGAGGCTAAGCGAGTCTTGCATTGAAATCTAGGGGCAACCAATGATCCGTGTGGTGTTCGTCGGGTCCGCATGTCGGTTACACAGCAAATGTCGGTCAGTCCTAAGGATGGCTGGATCTTCATATTAATCGACGCATATCGGGCAGATGGCCATCATTGATACATGCTGCCTCCGTTTACTTCCAAGGGCGCACCCGGCGCAATGGGTCGATTGCGGATATGGTCGCACGGATTGCAGAAAAAAAGGGCCCGGCTGCCAGTCGTGCGGCTCCTGGTTTCCGGGGTCATCCTCGAAACATGGAGTTCAGCTTTCCACTGATGTTTCGATTTTTGCTTTGAAAATCCGCACAATAACTGTAGTAACAAAGAGCTCGCTCCCAAAAATCGGAGGCGAGGGGCGGCCTCTTTGCAACCCAGATACACAATATTCACCAAATCTTCAAAGATGGTTGATAGACTCCGAGTGAGTGGAATTGTGGAACATCGGCTAACCTTCTTTGTCACATACCGCATACCGCCGGTCGTGAGTGGTATGAATTTGATACATGATAACATTTCAGGTTTCCTACGGAAGGTGCTTGAGTAGAGCACAGCACCATAGTACAAATATGGCCATAAGAGGTAAATTGGATGCCTTTGTTATATACTGTTCATGAGTAGGGTCATACAGATACAGCTTCTGACGACGAAGCTTATACCATGCACTACATCATTCATTCTGGCCTATGCTACAAGGAAGACTGTTATGCCATAATGTTCAGCAACCTGCCATATTTTGCTCAAAAGACCAAGGCAACTTATTGGATGTATAAGGGCTTGCAACGCCTATGAGATTCCCGGGTCATGCACGGTACTATTGGGGGAGCGGGATACATAATCTGCACTTCGTATCCATCTCAGATTGTCTGACCTGATGGCTTGGTCAGTAACCAATCTGTCCAGCAGTCATTTTGCTCCTTGAAATCTTTCATTGGTTAATATCGTTGTGAATTTGCTGAGTTCAGCGGCAGAAGATCGTAGTTTTAGCTGACGTATCAACAGCGGATGCTGTCTTGCCGCTTACTACGAAACGAGTAGCCAACGGCACAGCTACTTCTCCATTCAAATATGGGACCTATAAGGTGTGTCTGGATTTACTCTTTCGAGAGCTAGTCACGCTGACTAGATATCAGCAGCTCGCGATACGAGCGCCATCAACCCGCAATGTACTTTGCCTGCCTAACATGACCGAAGCCATTGGCATCCCACTCATCTCAAAGTTAATTGTTTGCCGTCGTGGCTCGTAGGCATGTCTCGGATATAATCCAGGGCCCGTTCATCTGGACCAAGGATACTCCTAACCTTATGTCAGTCTGTATCAGCGTATGTGTGCCCTTTCTGACCATAGTGAGCTTGAGAGTCTTGCGAATGCTGCCTGAGGCCTTCGTATTCTCTGTTCCCTAGGATGCCTCTGTCCCAATATCTGCGTCCGGAGTTAATCATTGATTCCACATTAGAATACCCCGAGCCTTCTGGGTCCGGAGTAACCATTGATTTCCGAATTAGAATATCTCGAGTCTTCCGAGAAACCTAGGATATATACATGTCAAGTTGAAAGATCAGGACTGACGGTTCATTTTAAACCAGTAATTCCACACATTACGAACCCGGAAGCGCCCGACATCCAATTACATAGAACTTATCGAATAGTATACTACCATATCCGACCTCGCTTGTTCTGTTAAACGCAAGCCACAGCAATGTTCCAGGGAATGTCCCTTCGAACATCCAAACGAACTCGTAGCTTAGTGGTCCAAATCCGTATGAACAAGCAAAGCTGCTCGTTAATGAGTTGCCTCATTCTCAAGGATCATTGCTGCAGCATGACGCCCGCCCAGCGTGGTTAAGGACGTATCTCACTGCTTGCTTTTCTCAAATAGTAGACACCCTCCTTCCTATGGCGAACAAGTTCACTTCTATAGTGGTAAGCCTTGAAGTCTTCGCTCAAGCCTAGAGGACCGTCCAAAATGTCTCTCCAGACCTACCTTATTGCTATTATTACTTATTTCGGATTTCCATCCTTCCATGAAACTCAACAGCCCTCGCTGCAATACCCATTGCAGCTCGATGATGTAGATCTTACGCCGCCTGCTCCCAAAGACCTCTCTTTCGTACCCCCTGGTGCCGCGGAAGAGACCCTTGGCGAGCCTTTTAGGTGTCACTATCCTTCCATGGCAGCTGAGTATACATACAATCCTACGCCGGAGAACCGAAGCGTCTGGCTCAAGCATCGGACCAATTCTTCACTGGACTTTGACATAAACACGGACTATGAAACGAGATGGCCTGTTGGGATTGAACGCAAAGTATGTTCAATTAGACCCTGCTTCTCTGAAGTACATTACCAAGATTAACATGGCCTAGTATATTCTCACAGTGGGCGAACGATCGTTGAATCTGGATGGTATTGAATTTCCCTATGCCAAGGTCTTCAATAATAGCTACCCTGGTCCTTGGATCCGTAAGTGCCGCCTTGTCCATGACTTGTTAGACTAATTCTCACGAGACTAGAGACATGCTGGGGAGACTGGATAAGTAAGTTGTGTGCATACCTTGCCTTGGCCCACGCTTATAGCATTAGACATCACTGTCAAGAATAATCTCAGGAGAAATGGAACGGCAGTTCATATGCATGGACTCCGAATGCTAAGCAATGGTCTCATGGATGGTGTGCCTGGGGTAACTCAATGTCCCATAGCACCTGGAGACACCTTCAACCATGTGTTCAATACAACCCAGTATGGCACAACATGGTACCATAGCCACTACAGTCTTCAGTACTCCGATGGTGTGTTGGGGCCATTGACAATCCATGGACCAACATCAGCAAATTTTGACAAAGCTATCGATCCCATCATCTTCACGGACCACAACCACCAAAGTGCCTTCCAGTTGTACTATCAAGAGCAGTTTGCGAACAATTCGACTCGAGTCCCACCGAAGCAGACTAGTATTCTGCTTAATGGACATGGTAAGTCATAGAGATCTTGTCCTCCTTTGACGCAGTGTTTTGTTTTAACGCAGTATAGGAAGCTATGCTGGTTCTTTTCCGGAGAGAAGATACCACAAGAAGGTTCAACCTGTAGGCAACCACTGCTATCATTTGTCACATTTATTCATAGCTAACTGGTGCTCAGGGGAAAAAATACATTCTCAGACTTATCAATGGGTCAACCGATACGACCTTCATCTTCAGCATTGATGGTCACAACCTCACAGTGGTCGGCATGGATCTAGTACCGGTCCAACCCTACACGACAGACCATATATATGTCGGGATAGGTGTGTCTTCACCAACTTGAGTCAAAGCCCTTTGCACATTCTAACAGGGCCCAGGCCAGAGATACCATATCCTCCTCGAGACCAAGACCGACTTCAGTGACTCCATGAATATGGCCTACTGGATCCGAACCGATCCCGCTACCGGGTGCCACAACTTCGAAACCATCCCAGATGCCAGACAGGGTATCCTCTGGTATGGAGGCGGCTCACATCCACCGATCCCGACAACGACCGCACACGCATACAACAACACCTGCAGTGACATGCTGGACTTGGTGCCGGTCGTCCCTTGGACTATTGATGAGCCACCCCCCATCATCCCAATGGTTAAGTACACCATGGCACAATCGCCTATCGAGACAATGAGCGTTACCATTGGCCAATGGAACCTCTCAGCGGTGGGAGATGACCCTGAGGTGACTGTCAACTTCTGGCAGTTCCTGAACGATACTCTTTGGGTGAACTACGCGGAGCCAACAGTCAATCACCTCGATCCTCCTTATAACAGTAGTGAGGTCATCTACTTAGCTGCTGAGGCCCAGCCCGCGCAGACCACATGGAACTCCATGCTGATAATTGGGGGTAACATCGTCGCTACGCCCCCAGTAACTGGAGGCAATCTGGCACCCAACGCACATCCAGTAAGCTTTTCTTCCCATCCCCCTTTTTACAATAACCAAGCCGCACCTTACACTAACTGGTATACCCTCAGATCCACCTCCACGGCCACGACTTCGCCGTCCTACAATACTCCACCGACAAGTACAACAGCAGCGAAGACCTAGACCTATATCTGGAAAACCCACGCCGTCGCGACGCCGTTCTTCTCCCACAGAATGGCTTTATCGTGATTGCATTCAAGACCGACAATCCAGGCTCCTGGACTCTACATTGCCATATTGCATGGCATGCTTCTGCGGGTTTGGCTTTCCAGGTCCTGGAAGAGCAGCCGGCTTTCAAGGCGGGGATTGAAGACTCTACTGTTGCGAGAATCCAATTGGATCGGACGTGTCAGAGTTGGGATGCTTGGTTTGCGAATGCTTCGAATCATTGGAATCCGAATGGGAGGTTTCAGGATGATTCGGGGATTTGAGGTCTGTGTTTGGGGAGGATAAATGTTGGGAGTCAATGAACGTGACTGATACTAACAGTAGCGAAAAGAAACGTGGCTTCATTTGTGTTGTCAGAGTTGTGCTATAGTAGTACGTTCTGGTGCTGGCAGTATTATAGTAGTATGATCTTGTTCTTGAATATCATATTTGATGAAGCAACACGGTGGTAATAGGCGGCTCAAGATATATATTCAATTATCACAGATCAAATTTGCTAGATGACTAGTTTTTATCACTCGTACTGGCCATTTCCAGGAATGAGCCTGTACAGTAGAAGAATACAATGGAATTCAATGCTACCACACCTAAACCTAGGAATGTGCACAGCAGTCCATGTGTCAAGAGTGGATCAGGGAGAGACCCCAAAAGTTGGGGAAAGAAGGAAGATCTTGTGAACCTCGGCATCGGGAAGGGGCAGAAACGAGGGCGGGCGGTGCCGAGCAACAGTAGCTGCTGCGGCGGCCTCGTCGTTCTCCCCGGACTTGTGTCGCGACTCTCCGCTTCTCTCTTCCTCTGCACACTAGTCCCATCGGTGGCTTTCTCTTCCCTTTCCTTCCATTATCCTGAGTCGCTACTGGGCGAGGAATGTGACCACTTCTTCCTTCTCTGTGTGGCAATTCCTCCTTCCCCTCATCATATCTTGTGTCGCGGAAAGACACCACCCATCACTCCCCGCCCAGCACACGGCAATTGACCAGACCCGCGCCTCCGATCATGGACCTCGAACACCGTGACTTCAACAACTCAGACCAGCCCAGGCGGCGGAGACGGAATGCAGTGAGACGACGGATGCGCAATCGAGCACCCATCTCCGCCCGTCTCTCGCTCGATCCTCAGCTCCGCGGGAATGTCGGGGTTGTGTCCGAGGATCTGGCCGGTGACCTCTTTCACACTTCCGGTAAGGGAAACATACCGCACCAGGGTTGTACTACTCCGCTGACTTGGAATTCACCGGCTATGTAGAAGGGACTGGAAAGGAAACAGACATCTACTACATCGCCGTCTCGCCGTACCAACCGGGCTCGAACGCGGTTGAGGATCTAGCCTGGACCATCATTCCCGTTCGGCCGCAGTCCAAAGAACGCTCTTCCCAGTCGCCGCTCCCTCACTCCACCGTCCTTTTCCCAAGCTCGGCGACTTCTCTGCAACCATTCACCGATGCCCTGAGCAAGCTTGATCCCACTCGTCATACCCTCCAAGCACAACGTCCCATTGAGATTCAGCTGTTGGATGTTGCGCCTCTACCTTTGGACACCATCTACGTGACTGTGGAGCGGAATCTCCTCCGGAACCACGACGATGTTCAAAACAAGTTCGGTGGAGGTTTTACGCCCAGTCAGAATGGGCCTAACGGACATTGGGCGAAGGGAGGGAAAGGTGGTGTCGAGGCCAAGAAGCAGTCGAAAAAGGCGGCAGCGGAGACGGAAGATAGGCTGACGGCTGCTGTACGGCAGGCCTTGGGAGCTGAGAAGGTGGTGCATACTGGCGATGTACTGCCCCTCCCACTACCGCCCCATCCCATCACCTATGCCCCGTCCCCTCCTGCGCGCATCTCGTACTGCGAGCCGGTTTCTCAGGGCCTGCTGATGCCAACAACCAAAGTGGTTTTGATCCAGGCACGGCCACAGGGCCATCGGTCACAGCGAAGCTTACGGTCGAGTTCGGGTCTTCTGAAGCAAGTCGCGGAAGACGAAGCAGATGACACGTCCAACGAACAGTTCTACTCCGCCGCGGAGGATAAGCCGGTGGAGAGCAGCACAGAGGTCGAAGCTACATCGACGGCAGATGAGTCGGAGACGGAAGGATCAGGAAATGCTAGCGACACATCGGACGACTCCCTAGATGACATGATCTCTCTTGCTGCCCCTGAGCTACCCCAACCGCCGTCCGGCGTCATGTCCGCGATGACTGCTGCCACACCTCGGGCAGGTGGTCGCCGTGGGGACGGTACACATACTCCTGGGTCCGTGGCGTCTAACTTCACCTCTACGACCATGCGCCCTGGGCGAA